ATTTCATAATGACAGAATTCTTGTAAGATGACACACAGTTGGTCCCAAAATTTTGTATATATTGCGTTTTTCGATATCAGACGAGAAGGCAATATTATGAACCGAATACTAACAAGTATTCCACGAATTTAATTGCAATAATCATATAAATATGTTTATTTAATGTAGCTATGATAAAAAGCCAGAAGGTGTGTGCAAGGATAACTCTTCAGTTGACGCTCTCTTCCAAACTCAATTTTAGTTTTTTACACCGCTATTCAAAAACATCTGATATAAAAAATTCGCCATGGGAAGTTAAATAAAATTTTCCGGTACCGGGAATCGAACCCGAGCCTCCTGGGTGAGAGCCAGGTATCCTAGCCACTAGACCATACCGGACGACGACGTCAATATTCGGCGCTCAGACAGTTAAGGTCTTTCAGCTTGGCGCCTATTCAAATGTAATAAAAAAGCTTGAGTCATGCCACGGACTAAAATGGATGATCAGACAGGCTATCTCTCTCACACGTAATAATTCTTAACAGACTCTCCTTACGAACTGATTAATTCTGCGTTAATAAGTTACTGATTAACCCAGTGTACTTGCTTTTAATATTATAATAAATTACACAGTTCTGACAAGAATTTATAGTCGGCTACGGTATTACCCCTCAGATAATTACACAACGAAATTACACGTATTTATAATAAAGGAAATTTGGGCGGGGGGGGTGAATTCTTCTACGGAACAGGAGTGAAATAGGAGAAACTTTTTTATATTATGGTTCACACTTTTTTATAGTGGAAGGAAGATTATTGAATACCTTAATTCCAGCACAGTATGCTTTTTGATATTTGTAGGGTTTAGTGTTTGGCATATGAAGGTTACATTTGTATCTTGCCCGTACCCACAGCTTACTGCCTTAGTCCATATACGACGCATACCACCTCATTCATGTAAGATCTTAGGCATTCATGGCGGTGAAGATTATGATGTGGTTCTTCAGCATTCTGGATATAAAATGGAGACAGAACGTTTTCCCTGAACGTTGGTATCTGCCCACGAATCACAAGACATCAAAACACACGACATAGCCACCTCCCGTCTGTCCATGCGTTTCACCGAATTGTGTTGTGATTTTTCAAGTGCACAGATTATCACTGTCCTTTATCCAAAAACATTTCACGCCTTATAGTAATATAAAAAAAAATCTCCCCGGCGGGGAATCGAACCCCGGTCTCCCGCGTGACAGGCGGGGATACTTACCACTATACTACCGAGGATGAAAGCTTTCCCATTATATTTTCAGAAGATTACGTCTGAAGATGGGTCTTTCTTGCGTCTTATTAGCATGTAGTCACGTAGAAGTTTACCCTCGTTTCAGAGGTCATGAAATCGATTGTGATATTCGAGGCAGCAAGGACCTCTGAAACGGTGGTAAGTTTCTACCAGATTACACAACACTACAACCTAGGAGACAGCCATTTTCGTTCTCATCGCCGTGAGAAACTCAAAACCATATTTGTAATGCCCCATTATACAGAGACAGGATTTCATAGATTATGCTAAGCTGATGACGTAATCGTCACAGTTAAATCATCAATAATAATATAATAACTTCGAAAATTCCGTTCAAGTCTCGGCCCTTTGGTAGGCTTTCCTCAATGAGATTTTATGTGATTTTATTCAGACCCTCCAGCAAATGCTCGGAAACTGACTGCAATCGGAAAATGATTTAGTAATCACTTTGTTACTCGACGTTTCGTAATACAGGCCATGGTCAATACCGATTACAGGACGTTTGACTTACGCTATCCATACGAAGAACCAAAAGTATAATCTGAGTTATTGACAGCGTCTACAAATATTCTTAAATAATATTAGCATACCAGTGTTTTAAAATGTTAGCTTTATGCTTTAGAAGCCTTTTCACAGAGAAAGACCCAGCTAGATAGGAGCGGGTCTTGACTCGGTGACAAACATTAAAATTTTGCTCTTGCTAAAAGTCGAAAACCTTGAATCGAGATTATGATTACGTTTAGAGGTGTTTCCTGCCTCCAACGTCAAGTTTAAAGAAACAGTAATTTTCTTTAAACACATGTTTCAAAAAAGGCAACACTTTGAACTAAGCTGGGCGTGTTTGAACATTTGCATTCTTCACTGATCATAAAAGTATCTTTCACTTCGTTTTACGTTAACCACAAAGTGGACAAAAAATAATCGACGTTCTCTTTAAGTCACGAAACTTGTGTATATGTTACATCTAATTATATGTAAAATTCACTGCTTTGTAAAGCAATCTTTAAACATTTTGCAACCTGTGCATCAACACAACTTTAACTTCTAGGCATGTCATTAAAGCTACCTATAATAACAATTTAGTTGCATTTACTGGTGTTTGTTAGAGAGTACGAAAAACGGGTGCACGTAACTTGTTCCCATTGCTACCTCTTCAGCGGTTTACAAATGCACTGCCTTCATAAGCATCAAACTTTGCTGTCATATTTGTTTTTAAAATACATCAGATTTATTTAAATTTTCCAAACGCTATCTGCGTAAAAACAATTACATCCGAGAATCTTACATCCTGAGGAACTCCATTCTCAATCATGACGTAACCTGTCATGTTACCATGATTTCTGTTTTTCTTTGTCTCCCAGTCATTTTGAATGCAAGATCATTTGTTTTCTTCGTTGAATTATTTAATGACCCTGCTTATTTAACAATACTCATGAGAAGCTATACGCTGTTCAATGAAATGGAAAGATGTTCACGAATAGTCCACACGTAAGGATTTACAACGAGTCAGTCGTAATTTATTTCATTTTCGTGAAGGGAGAGAGGAAAACCACGAAAATGTTAATCAAGTTGGCCAGCCTCCCAGCAGATCGTGTCTTATAAGAGTTTGGAAATCATCTGCAACAAAAGCGACCAATACTCCAATCAGACTGACGCGACAAGAGAGCGGATTTCTACATTCTGACTTCCTCGCTCAGTTTGGCAACGAATCATCCTGACACTTCGAGGACCACGGTCCTCACTTCTGGCGCCTTTCTCGGGGCAAGGGCGAGGTTTGTGGCTTTGTCTAAGCTGTACCTGCCATCCAGGACATCTTCACACTAATGAACACATCAATTTTACCCTCCAAGAATTCTTTTGTCATCAGGGTTACTTTCAACATTCTCAGTCTAACTTCCATCCTCTTCCCCTGTGTGGGCCTAAAGGCTTAAAGGGGAGTCTTAACGACGCACTATACATAAACATGAAGCCAGTTAAACCTTTGTTATTGGATATTCTTGTGTACCAGACACCCCTCTGAAGTAACTAGTCGGTTAATCACTATGGGCTCCACGTAAACTGAACAGCGTCGTGAAACAAATCATGAATTAAATCATCAACTAACTGATCCTATAGTTACTTACCACTGGTTGACCATGCACTTTGTTGCGCAGAACAGTTCCAATTATATCAAATCTAAAACTTCTTGACGATGGTGAAGAGTGGGCCCAACTGTGTAGGAACCTGAAGACGGAGATAGAGTCCCATCTCCGAAACGTCGTTTTACGTTTTATATTTACTAGACGATGGATAATATCCAAGAAAATTTTTATTCAGTTCCAATTATCATCATCACACCATGTCCGGATATACTGTGAAGTTGAACTAGCTGAGATTCAATTCTATATGAATCGGATTACAAAAAAACGATAAATGGCTTATGAGATATTCAAAGTTGGAGAAGTGCAAATAAGTACTGCATATTTTATTGCGTCAATGCGCGGGGCTCTGCGCGACCGCCGGGACAGCTCTAACATTGGAAGGGAGATTTAACCCCCAGCCCCTTGATACGCCACTGGTGGTTTGTGACCCTTTATTTGTTATAGCATTTTGCTGATATGTGAACCACGTGGATCTCAAGCTAAAGTGTAGATGAATACTGTAAACATGCAGCCAGGTATTCTATTTGACGTATTCCTTAGCGCCTTGTAGTGGGACTTCGCCCGCATGGTTTGTATTCAAGAAGCGACATTCACATACACTTGCCTTGCATTATTCGCCTGCAACTTCGGCTGTGCTCAGCTGCAATTCTAATTACGTATACTATACAAGAAGGGCGATAGTATGCCTCGAGATGGTCTGTACGACACTTCTGCGCATACGTAAGCTTAAAACATTAGTACGCCACGTGCTGAGACGTCTAGTGCTTTAATAAATTACAGTGGATCCTCAAAATACCGCGCTTCGTTTTCCGCGGTCTCGGAAAAACCGAAGCTATGATCATGTCCCCCAATACGATATCATATATTTTACATATGTCTCATATAACGCGGGTACTGAAGCTGTCCCCCGAAACCCGCGTTGTATCCATAAACCAAACTCTTTCCTGAAAGCAGATTTTTCTCATCTAGCAAGGAAATTTCCTGTGTTTATGAAACTCAGATGTACATCATTGTCTTCAATTCGACCATACACTCGGCCATTTCAATAAAATACCACATGCTCTACGTATAAACGACACATTTTATCTATGCCTAGATCTTCCAAGTGGTCTCTTCCCTTGAGATCGTCCGACGAAAATTTAATACATATTTATCACTCCCACATGCGTGCTACTTGCCCATCTCACCATATTTCATTTGATCTTTAACAATACTAAGAGTATGCTAGAAATTACAAAGCTTCTCACTATGTGACAGAACTCAAGTTAAAAAAGTGAGCTGAACGACTATCAGCTCCTCTATAAGGACTGTTCCACGGACATTTGTGGTTGGAAACAGTTTGAAATATAAATTTTGGTGATATAACCGATCTTGTGGCCCAGATAGGATTTGAGATCACTCATTTCTGACTGAAGTGCAAGTGAGATGGGGCTATTGGCGTGGGAAACCCGATGTTGTTCCAAATATTTTAGTCATAACTATTACTTAAAATGATTAACAATTTGCTTCCTTAATTTTCGCCTATGTCTATATACTAATGTATACCTGTTTTTAAAAACGTGAGAAAGGACGGATTCAAATTAAGCGGTAACAGAAATAAATTTTTATTAAAATTCTTCGTGTGAAAGTCAATTTGACTATCTTACAGTTCATTGGTGCAATAACATTTTTCGCAGCATATACATAATATTTATATTCTTTTGAACAGTGCAGTGTTCTTTCTTCAAATTATTGCTACACATAATACCAATCTAGAATAAAAGTTGTTCGTATCCGACTTGAATTAAGTCAGACTTACAAACTATTACAAAATTACTTATAGAATAAATACTGTGAATTCGGACTATTTTAAGTTATCACTTGTAACAAGACAATACTGTGGTAAAAACAGACTATCACAGTTAGAGACCATCGTTCACAGATCTGCATAATGCAACGATAGAACAGCCAAGGTCCAAGTGAATTGGTGAGGGGAGTGGAAGGCACTCTGTTAAAATTAGAGGAGATTTGTGTTCTCAGGGAGACGAGCATGAAGAAGGCTGTCTTCTGGGGCGTTACGCTATGCGGTCTTATTTACTTATCGCCCTGATGATGGAATCAGCAAGCATTTCCGAAACTTCGGTCAATACCTACCAGACAGAACAAAGTGATTCCGGTGGCGAACTAACACTATCGTCGGCTCAGAACAGAAAGAACTGGTTATTAATATATACAAACCTACCTACAATAATTTGCATCAGTCTTTGATATTATATAGGAACTTACTACAATAAAATATTTTATCATGTCTACTGAATCGCTCCAAATAACAAATTAATACTTAGACATAATTTACAAGAATTACTTAAGGCTCAGCGTCTAATTTCTGTACGCAAATTATGTTATCTCTTAAATTTCTCGAACTAAAAAGAATCAAGCCTGATAAATGTGTTAATTATAAACAATGAACAACTTGGTTTCGCTTACTGAACAAAAATGACATATTAAGTCATTCAATGCTACAAATATACTGCAAAATCCATTCTCATCCTTGCAAGAGTTGAGTTACTTTCGCATCCTTTCCTGTTTCATTCGGACACTACACCAGATCGAATTCATTCTGGATCAATTTCACAACTGCAGGGCAAATTCCTATAGGCAAACCCATTCGAAGTTAACTTATTTGTATACGTGCCAAATTACAAGAGGTCGACTGCAGTCTGTTTTCCAAGTTAAATACCGTCAGAATTGTTTGATTAAGTCAAGACATTTCAGCGAAAGGAAGAAGTTATTTTAAAGAAACACCCCGAAATTAATATCCACATACACTACTGTGTACAAAGGTAAAAACACACAGTTAACAATTTTATAGCAATGCTATATTCTAATTATTTTCTTCACTCAAAAGTCCTTATCTCCAGTAAGCTTAATCAATTGTAGCCTTCCGTGATTCACCCGTGTAGACTGGAGCCATCCAGTAGCTAGATCTTCCTGAACCTACCAAGAAAAACAACAATGCCACTGTAAGCAGTTTCCATAGCAACAATGAATGACGCTGTTACGTCGCTTGGACCGCGTTCTCTTGCCCTGCTTCCTCTTCGTCGTCGTCATCGCTAGCGTAATGGTAAGTCTCTGGCGGAACATCACTGATCTCCACAGCAGCACTAAGGAACAGTTCCCGGAACACAAACCCGTCCAGATTCTTAGCTAGGTAGTACAGAAACAGCCAGTCTGAGAAGTGGCATTCTTTAGTGACCGTGACGAGACTCCATAGGTCAAGGACCTGAGGATTTGCAAAGCCAAACACGATCCTGTTGAATAGTAGACATCGTGCATGAAGGATCACAGTCAGAAGCCTCCACAGCAGGGCTGCCAACGTTAAAACACAGAGAACGACAAACCAGAACCAGAGGAATACGTATATCTTCTCATTTACAACATTTAGTGCCATCACACACAAGGCATCGTGCAACTGCAGTGAACCTGAAGGACCATATTTCCTGAAGTTACATTTCGTCACCTTTGGGAACACTAAATCCAAAGGGCTCTCTTCGCTGGTACCATCAGCCCTAAGAACATCACGTCCCAAATTCAGGAAAGTCCCTCCAAGGAATACATCCGTTATGTAGATCTGTACCACGAGGTTGGCGGCATTTATGACCTCGGAAATGACAAAATCTGTCGTCCAAGACTTGTTGATATCCTTTCTCTGGACGAATGCATCTCTGATCAATATAATCTTTCGCCTTGCATTCTTTTTTGACGGTATTGTAACACCACATTCTAACTTCATATCCTCTATGTTCAGGCTTAAGTACGCGTGCTGTAATCCTTTCACCAACGCCTTCATTCGTCCTCCTTCCCGATTTCTCCAATAATAATGAGGGGCATAAAACATTAACGCCTGCAAGAACAGCATAAAAGGAACCCACTGGTAAAAGGCGTGATATTTGACAGCATCTTCATTCTCGACATACGGACCGACACCCAGATGTGGCACAACTCCGCTGTGAAGCGCGGATTGATTAGCATGTTTTACGACTGTGAAGGTCGTTGTGAAGAAGCAATAGGTGTTTATTACATGAATTGGCAACCTGTGGTCAGCTACACAGCGGATATGTTCACCGACGTATTGACGGCTGCAGACCAAGATGGTGGATGTTAAGAGAATAGCAAAGCTCGCTCGGTAATAGAGCTTAGATACAAAGTTGTCAATTACAGCCTCCTTACTCTTGTAGTGAACGTTTTCAACAACACACTGAAAAGTTTTCAACATCGTTACGAAATTCTAGAATTAACTTAACACCCAGTCTTTAATTGCAAACACACAAACTGAAAATACTGCCTACGTTTCACTGTTCAACGCTGTTCAAACAGTACAAGCAGCATAACTGAGTAGTTGAAGTCTTCAAGGTGAGTCGAACACGAAATTCATACCACGTGGTGTATTGTGCTTATCATTGTAAACAAGATACGTCACTATCGCGAAAAAGTAGGTCTCACAAACGTATAAGTCAGGCATCAGTCTACAGGAAGACGCTTTATTTGCACGGTTTCCTGCAAAGTGGAAATACCGTTACGGGAACGCGAATACCATGCTGTAACGCTCTGCCGGTCGAACATTGACTAATCCGAACTCGGCAGTCACCGAGGGCGAGTGAACTCGTTACACGATGTGCCCGTCTACCGGAGACGTCACAATGGAAGTCGTCATATAAAAGGACATTGGCTGGGAGAGATGACCTCTGCCCTTACGTAATGCAAGCCTCTGCTTCTGTGCGGCCAATGGACAACAGTGGCATTCGAAAAACGTTTAATTGACAACTCGACAAAACTTTTCTCAGTAGCACTAATGGCAATCTGTTATAATTTGGACTAAATTCACAAGAACTGTTAATATCTGGGACAAAAGTTTCGATGATTCTAAATAACAAAATACGAATGATGAAGAGAAAGCGATCATCGTCAGAGAAAACATCTGGAATTACCACGAAGAAACAAGGGAAAATCACAAAATAATAACTATCTGTCCCTTTTCTTAGATACGACGCCATGAAGACATAAGAAGGAGTGGAGTTAAATCTCCACACATTCTTAACCTCGGGACTAAATGGAGCTGAGCAGTGAGCCGATCTCTCAGTCCGCTTTATCCTCGGTATACAGCCTCCACAGCCCTGGCAACGAGAACGGGTTGGCCGCAGAACCGGCCTGGCTCTACGGAGAGAAAAAAACATTTGTGCACCTGCCGGAAACTAAACAGAATTAAAACAATGATTCAGTAATGAAATAATAATAATTTCATAAAATAAATTAATAATAATATCACCGATATCAACGGATTTTATCTCTCAGCTAAGTGGCTTACAGCAAAGCTAGCCGGCCGTGGTTCTGTTCCCGACAGACTTACTACTTCTTTCCCCCCACAACAACTACATCGCCTCTGGAGCTTGTATCTTCTCGTACCAAAAGGGCAACGGGAACAAAACGGACGCAGCATAAAGCTAACAAACTATTCAGGTCACACAGGTCTAGAATACAAAGGGGTAATCACACCGAACTCATTGCATCCAAAAGATACGATATCGCACATGAAGTAATTCAGTTATCTTAAAGCAAAAACTTACGTAAGACGAAAGTAGACTTCCGCTTATGACGCCATATCAAGTACGTATCCCAGTTTAGTCGGAGTTGGTTAAGCACGTAACACTTATCAAGCATTTCCCCTCCATAACCGGGCGGGAAAATACAAGAATCCAAATGATATGAAAATATGTACTTTAGAAAATAAATATTTACGTTTGTCTGTTTTGCACACTTATGCTGTTAAACGTAGTAGTCCACAACTTTATTTATATCAGAGAAATAGAAATAATATAAGTGGCAATAAGAGGAATCTCATTTTCACTTTGTCTCTCTCGCAGCAGAACAAAATAATCTGCGAATAACAACCACGCCTAATAGAGTACTTACAAATTCTATTCGGTCTTTCAACACGCGACTCTGATAAATATGTTCTACTTCTGCAAAAGGCAGTCTTCAACACAGTGTTGCCAACACTTAAAACGGAACTCTTAAGGGCTCATGGATCCAGTCATCACCTTCAAATGTCAGTAATTATATGAATGAAATAATTAAATATTTATGAATTTCCTGTTTCTGACAATGTATAAACACAAAAGAATGATTCGTTGTGGAATTTAGAAACTCTAATGCCAACGGGATTATCACTTTTAACCTAGACACATATTCTATTCGTCATAAAAAACAACAGAATCAGAAAACAAGAAACGATATTCAGTTCGGAAATATCCACAGCGATCAGCGACGCATGCCGACAGAGTATCGCCAAGTTAATGAACAAGTGTCCCAAACAGGTAACAAGCTTTGCTATTTCCAGAATAACATTAAGTAACGACAGTTTCGTATCTGTTCAAGATTGGACCGCAGTTCCAGTTACACATAATATCTTCCTACGGTGAACCGTGTTTTAGCTCTTTAACTCCGCGTATTAAGGCATATCGCACTCTTTTAGGCTCATCAACGCAGTTTCCTATACATATTAAGAATAAACAACCGTCTACAAGTAACAATAACAGAAAATTTTACAAACTGTGCAAACTGCCAAATTATGGTAAAAGTCACTGACAAAAGTTACATGTTTCGACTTTCCAAAATATAACATACATTAGCTAAACCGTAGTACAGAATATCAAGTTATTTCAAACCTACAACTAAGAAATTCTTTATGTAAAGCTTCGTATTCATTCAAATGTTGTATAATTAAAAACCTCAGGATGGCTATTTAAAAGTGAAAACATGTAGTTTTTATCTTAAACGTTTGCCATAATATGTGTCAGTTTCGCACATTTGCCAAAGAGTTGTATTGCTGCTGTGTTCAGACGGTATTTATTGCCTAAGACTACCAAAATTCCACAGAAGGATGCTATCTTGTAGCATTCGTAACAGAGATTTCTGCCTACACAACGTACCGTTAGTAAAGTATTTTGGTCGGTTCTCAGACAAACACTAATTATATTTCCAAAAATCATTAACCTTTACTGACTACTGTAACTTTTATGTTTCCTTGGCAGTACAAATCAAATTCTTAAACATATCATGATTCAGTATAAATCAACACGAAAGATGAGGGCACATGTGTTAATTCATATCAATAGCAGATGATTTTCCCTACGTGTTAATGAGTTAAATTGCAGGAAAAGTCCAAATAATTAATATTTCCTTTCACATACAAAGTGACCCAACAAGACGCTTGCCTTTAAATAGTTTATACTGTAAAAGTGTGAGGGTATAAGCTCGGAAAATAAGCACCAGTAAGATTTAATGTAGAACATAAAATGTTTGAGAAAAAGTTTCTGGAAACTGGCAACGTTTTAGCAAAGCGTGCAGGCAGTTTTTGGAAACTTCTGCATGAAAATGAAAATGTTTCAGTGCCGTATATAGACTACAGATACTTATAAATAAATTGAAGACAAAGGCAAATCTGCCGAGGCAGGAACTTGCTTCAGAACACAAAGGATTTCAGCTGTATTCCTGTAACTGGTTCCGCGCAAGAACGCGATGATGAATCATTCAGTTCCATAATGGTGGAAATTTCTTTGCCAACTGAATGTCATCTGTTTAAGGAAGACTCTGTATCATGAAATTAGCACACAATACAAACTTGGTTTTCCTTTCTTCTCGATCGAGACAGATTTTTATATCGGCTGTCCCTTTGTGCAGGTCATGGTACACCTGTGATACAAATTATGTGAACTGGACGAGATTTCAGGTTATAACGGCGGTGAATTAGAGAAGATGGCTTCTTTCTGAGCGATAAGTCATCACTCTGATGATAGAGTAAGCAAGGACTTCTGAAACGATTGTAAAATTCTGCCAGACTACATGGCGCTACAACCCAGTAGACAGCCATCTTCTTCCGTTTAATTTTATGTTTTGTATCCGGCTTTAGTTCAGTCCGGGAATGTTTCCTCGGAAGGGTACATACCGTGACGCATTCTAGAAAAAGTTCCAAGCGTAGAGGTTGTACAGAATATGGAGATAATCATGAACTATGAGCAGTCGAAATCGAGTAAATATAAAGAAAACTGTCCCTTGTGCTGAACTAAACACCTTGCAGAGGGGAGGGAAGGAAAATCTCCACGCATTCGTAAGCTTGGTGAGTGCTCAATTTCACGTTCGCATTATGCCTGTTAAAGGAACTCCTGCGTACGTGTGAGAACGAAGAACTGTTTACTGTAAATTATGTTTTGAACTGTAAATTTTGTGTGGCCGTATATTATTAGCCTATCACTGCCAGTTTAATTTATCATAGCTTGAAACTGTATCATATTAGCTTATCTCCATTGTTTCCCAAAGACTTAACAGTGTTTGCTTGGTATTTAAGACTAATCCATCGCCAACAAATGGCTCGTAGTTTGATCTTTAACCTTGTTTCTGTTTTAGGTTAATGAGACCGTAACGCGACGGGCTGGTCTTCCGTTGTATGGGAGAGGACAGCAATCTCCATCTCCAGTCATTCTACCAACTCGGGAGATTAGAGAGATAATGCCCAGTCATGTATAATACATATTCACTCACATGCCATATCCAACCGTCACAATTAAAAAGTGATTACGAAACTTTAAAGTACAAACTTTCTGCCAAAATGTTTTAGTGACAAAAGAACTCAAAATGCTCATTTCCGGTAATGGAAATCGAACCCGAGCCTCCTATTTGAAAGCCAGGTACCCCAGCTACTAGACCATACCGTACAACACATCCTCATTTAAGAATGCATCACAATCTTTTCCTGCTTGCGTATTACAATATTTCGCCATGAAAATTGTACCATAACCTTGGTATTCAGAAGGCCCACGTTTCGATTCCGATTCGACTGCAGCTATTAATAACGAAAATGTTTAAACATAAATATCCATCAACATGATCACAAATCGACGTCGTGTACATCAAAGTAACATACCTCGTAACAACGCCAGTGTGATACAATGTCTATCATAACTGTGGTGTTGTTACCTCATACACCGCCTTTCACAACTGTGGTATGGTAACCCCATTACGATGTCCAATATGAACCGTATAATTAACAGTGAGAGACGGAGTAGCTCAGTATGGTAACCAGACTACGAGTTGGATAACCTGGTTCGATCTCTAGCAAGAGGCAGACATTTTTCTCTTCCCTGCCTCGAGCAAATACGCTCTGGGACTCACCCAACTTTCTGTCCAATGGGTACTGGGAGATTCTTTTCCTGGCAGCTTCTCCATCTGGTGACGAGTTCAAGAACTGTTGGAGATGATCTATCGGTCCAGAATACAGAAGATCATTAGTGAGCTGTAGATCCAATTGCAAACGAACGAACGATAATATTAGGAAGTTTCATCTCCGTCATGCGGGTTTTCTTTGAGCAGACGGACCAAGGTCTCTCCCGAAGGAATAAGGGTGGTCAGACAGTGACATTTAGCACCATCTGTAGTATTGAGGTTAAAAGAATGAACCTTGTACGCCTTCGTGGAGTGGGCCGGATACAAGGATTATTTGCATCGCCCCTGCTTGCGGATGAAGCCTTCTGATGTCATCTGTTCATAGCATGACATGCAAAAGGCGTGAACTGCTTGGCATGGTCCAGTAATCTCATTGCCTCCG